CATCTTAATGTAAAGAAAACAAAAATCCTCACAACTGGATCAATAAACAACATCTATATAAATGGAGAAAAAATTGAAGTTGTCAAAGACTTCATTTTGCTCGGACCAACCATCAACACTCACGGATGCAGCAGTCAAGAAATCAAAGGACGTATTGCATTAGGCAAATCTGCTGCACAAGATCTCTTTAAAGTGCTGACGAGCAAAGATATCAATTTGAGGACTAAGGTGTGCCTGACCCAAGCCATGGTATTTTCAATAACCTCATATGCCTGTGAAAGCTGGACAGTGAATAAGGAAGACGGTAGAAGAATAGATGTATTTGAGTTATGGTGTTGGAGGAGAATATTAAAAGTACCATGTATTGCCAAGAGAATAAACTAATCTGTGTTGGAAGAAGCACAGCCAGAATGTTCCATGGAAATCAGGATGGCCAGACTTCATCTCTCATACTTGGAACATATTGTAAGGAGCGACCAGTCCCTAAAGAATATCATGTTTGGTAAAGTGGAGGGTTGGAGAAAAAGAGGTAGACCCCCCATGAGATGGATTTGCACAGTGGCAGCAGGAATGGGCTCAAGCGTAGCAACGATTGTGAGATTGGTGCTTGACCAAGCAGTGTTTCTGTTGTTCATGGAATCACTGTGAGTCGGAACAAACTCAATGACACTTAACAACAATAAATGTGCTCCTTGGAAACCAGGATAGCCAGGCTTTGATTCTCTTACCTCAGACATATCGTCTTTTGTAAAGTTGAGGGATGGAAAAAAAGAACATAATGCAAAAGTGATTGCAAAAATTTCCTCAACCAATGAGGAAGACCCCCCAACAAGTTGGATTAGCACCTGGTGGCAGCAATGGGCTCAGGTGCAGCAGCGATTATGAGGTTGGTATGGGACCAGGCAGTGTTTTGTCTGTTGTGCATAGGGTTGCTATGAGTTGGTGCTGACTCAATGGCACCTAACAACAACAACAACAACAACAACACCAATCATTTGGTGGGAGTTACAAAGACTATGGTTAGAAGAGCCATGTTAAGTAATTCACTATGCTGCACCCCCACTTCCCATACTGTGGCTGGCTCCTCCCACTCTCTGTATTCATGCCCATGGCTATCAGGGACCTCTTCAATCCAGATGACTGCTGGGTGCTTGTCATGCATCCTCACTCTACCCATCCTTGTCTCCCTGGTGTTTTGTCCTCGGCTAGACCTGAGTCTCCTCCTCCACCCTTAGCTTCCCCTTGCTCCACAGGGTGGTGCTTTACCTGGATGCAAGGTGGCAGCCCCGGTTCCAGCCATCATGTCTGTTAACAGCCACATCCAGATGCAGAAAGGGGGCCTTTCTGTAGAACGCCAACTTTCCCTTGCCCTTACCAGCCCTGTCAAGGAGACCGGGGCACCCCTCTTGGTTTTAACAGAGCATCTCTGTAGGGCACGGCTGGCAATTTGGAAGGATGGAGATTCATTTTGTGGACTGTCCCACACATTGCAGGATGTTTGGCAGTCCTGGACCTTGTGCACAAAAGCCCCCTAGCAGTCCCATAGCTGACTGTACAGCACTGTTGTACAATCCTGTCCCCCTAAACCACTCACCTATGTAAATGAGTGGAGATTCGCCTCTCAGGCTGGGGAGAGGCTTTCTGGAAGGAACCTGGGAGAGAATGGCAAGGGAAAAGGGGACAGTGTCTGGTGGGGATGCCACTGAAAGCGTTAGTTCATGGTGGCAAATATCCAGGGGCTTGGGTCAGATCCCGTGCCTCATCGCCCTCCTTCTTCCTTCCCCCCATGTGTCTGTTGGTGGATCTTGATGGCCTGCTCTCCCACAGGTGCCTCCATTCCACCCACTGCCATCTCCTGCACAGTGGCAGGAATTCTAACCCCGGGTCCCCTCTTCCCACACAGCAATCAGGGTGACCTCCATGTATAAAGCAGGTTCTGTCACCTCTCTCCCATAACACCCTCTCCCTTCTCCTTAGAATGAGTGTACACCATATGTGGTCACATGGTCTCCTGTAACCTGGCCCCAGAAACCTTCCAAGTCTCATTTCCAGCCACACTGGTTTATTTTTTGCCCAGTGAACAGGTCCAGCCTGTTTCTACCTGAGGGTCTTTGCATGTGCTGAACTCTCGCTAGAGTGCTCTTTGCCCAGATTGTCCCAAGGCTGGCTCCTCAATTATTTAGAGCTCAGATGTCACCTTATCAGAGAGGCCTTCTCTGACCACCCAATCCTAAGTTATTGTTAGGTGCCATTGAGTCAGCACCGACTCATAGCGACCCTATGCACAGCAGAACGAAACAATGTCCGATCCTGGGCCAACCTCACTACTGCTGCCACACTTGAGTCCATCCATGCTGCCACCTGGCCAGTCCATGTTGTTGGGGTCTTCCTGTTTTTCTCCAACCCTCCATCTTACCAAGCATGATATCCTTCTCCAGCAACTGTTCCCTCCTGACAATCTCGAGTAGCACCCCTTTATGTATTAAGGCTTAGCTTTTGAAACAAGACCAAAATAGCAAGGCATAGGAGGTAATTTCTGTCATCAAGGACTTGGCAGCCTCATAATGGAGTGTCCCAGACATCTTTCTTATTGCTTTGTTATCTTCAACATGTGGTCTAAGCTGGTTACTCCTGCTCCCACCTCCACATCTGTGTTTCTTCCAATGGGAAGGGAGAAGGGATTACCTAAAATTGGCCAGCCTCATTCCTCTCAGGTCCCATTGGCTAAAACTCAGTCACATGGCCACACCTAACTACAAGGGAGGCTGGGAAAAGTCCTCATTATTCTGGGAAACCAAATGCCAAGGGTTCTTTTACTAAACAGAAGGATGAATGGAGCTCTGGCAACATAGTGGTTACAAATCAGGCTGCAAACCTCAAGGTCAGCAGTTCAAAACTACCAGCTGTTCCGTGGGAGAAAGATTGAGCCTTTCTGCTCCAGGAACCGACTCCACAGCATATAACGAGCTATCTCAACTGTGTTCGTCATCATTCTGTCCCACTCTTCAGTTTTATTTCCTTCTGACTATAAAATGTCTTTTTATGTGTGGATTTCTGTGCATATTGTCAGCCTCCCTTCCCCAGAGGGCAGGCCTGAGGGCAGGACCTGGTCTGTCCTGTGGCTCAGTGTCTCTTGGCACCTAGACTTGTGCCCAGTTCATCATAGGTGCTCTGTGATGCCAGCCAGGTACATGGGAGAATGAGCAACTGACCCTAGTGGCATCTCTTCCATCAGGAGGGAATAGGGAAGACTTCTGTCTTTGAACAATTATGGGCCAAGCATGAATTCCTAACACTTCTGGTCACCCTGGAAGTGGGTGCTGATGGAGACACCTGACAAGTGGCCTGCTGGAGAGGAGGGGTGACCAGTCACTAACTCACCCCTTCTGAGTCTTGTCTCTCTCTCAACCAATGTGCCCCTGGCAGTTCCAGGGCTGGAGCCTGTAGAGAAAATGTACCTCCAGCCTCCAGCCCTCATCCTGGGCCATGTCGTCACTCAGTGCTGCTTGGTTTGGAAGCACAGCCTGCCTGTGCTCATGCCTGGCTTCCTTTGCTCAATATCATGTTGTGAGTTGCCCATCCATTCTTTCTACGACTGTTGGTGCATTCAGACTGCTTCCAGGTATGTGACCCTCCCAGGACCTGTCTTGAGCCCACCTGTATGTGAATTTTTGTTGGGAGTGGAGACACAGGGTCATAGGGCCCAGTTAGTTCAAATCTATTATGCCAGGCATTTGTGCCTGCTAAGTCCTGGTGCCCTAGGTTGGGCCGCTCACCCTGCCCACCCTTCAGCCTCAGGGTAGAGGCATCTCCTCTGTGGCTGTGCCTGAGCCTCCTCTGTAGCTCAGGAGCCTGCCACCTCCTCAGTCCCCATTCCAGGGTACTTCTATGTTCTATTTCCCAGGACCCCAGACTGCCTGTTGTCTGTCGTCCAGACTGGACGGTGTACCTCCCTGTTCTCGAGGTGCAGAAGTGCTCAGCTTCCATTGCTCTGCTTGCACTCTGGCAGCCCAGCCTTCATACACCCTGCTCTCTGCTGGGCCTCCTCCGCTCCCCAGGCCTGCAGTCTCCACTGGAAAATCTCCTGGGCACTTTCCAGGGTAGCCCAGGGTGGTAGCCTAGAGGAACAAGGGTTGGACGGCTGACCTGCGGTGTCTGATGCTGAGCGCCACTTAGTAGCTGCGTGACTTCAGTTCTGTGTTCATGTGGGTGTGCCAGTGCGGGTGGAGCGTTTCACATGCTTACCACAAAGAGGTGGGCACTGTTGTTACTACCATTCCACAGGGAGGGGCAGAGAGGCCTCGGCTGTCAGGCCTGGCTCTCTCCCCTGCTCCTTGATCCCTAGCCCTCAGGATTGAGGGGGTTAAATGGGCTGATGCCAAGTAGGTTATGCTGTTGTGCTTAGAGCACAGGCATGCTCAGTACATGGTGGAGGCTTTGCTATTATCTGGGGTCATTAGACACAGTTGGGGGAGTCCTGGTGTGGTATTGTAGGGTAAGCACTGGACTGGTGACCACTAGATTAGCAGTTCAAACCACCAGCTGCTCCTTGGAAACCCTAAAAAGGTCGCTATGAGTCAGAACCGACTTGATGACACTTAACCGCAAAAACAGAACTGGAGTTCTGGTGTGGCGTGGCACTGTAGGATAATCACTGGACTGTTAACCTTAAGGTCAGCAGTTCAAATCCATCAGTTGCTCTTCAGAAACCCTATACAGAGTCACTCTGAGTCCTTATCAACTTGACTGCACTTAACAAGACAGGGTCTGAGAAAAGGACTAGGTCCCCATTCAAAAGACTGGGTCATGATGTGTACAGGAGCCTCCCTCCTCCCCCCTCCCAGCAGGCAGGAGCTTAGCTCCTGGGGGTGGGGCAGTGAGGGCATTTATCCAGTCTTGGGAAGAGTATCCCCAGGCTGCTGGGAGACTGAGACCAGAGACAAGAGGACAGTGTCCTTGATCACACAGCTAACACTGTCCCTCTCACTCCCCAGGGCTGGCTGCTGGCGGGATGAACACTCGGGAGGAGGTGATTTGGGCCAATGGCAGCACGACACTGTCACCACCCCTGGCACCCAACATCAGCCGCTGTCTGCTACTACTCTATGTAGACATTGGCACCTCTAGGTGAAAGCTCATAGCCTTGTTTGCAGGTTGACTGTGTGTGAGGAGTTTTCCTAGGGTGTGTATGTGTGTGTTGGGGGTGGTGTGCGCATACAACATCCCTGGTGAGCCAGCCTCTGTACCCATCTGCCAGGGTCCGGTACTGGGACCTCCTGCTGCTCATCCCCAATGTGCTCTTCTTCATCTTCCTGCTCTGGAAGCTTCCACTCGCTCGTGCCAAGATCCGCATTACCTCCAGCCCCATTTTTATCACCTTCTATATCCTGGTGAGTTCCCCCCACGCAGCAACAAAAAACCCAACTCCAACTGTGTTCAAATTAATGAAAAATTCCAGCTTTAGGTATGGAGGGATGCAGGGATGAAATGACGTCTCCAGAACTATCTCTCTGCAGCTCGGGTTTCTGCTCTTCTCAGGCCTTACCTCAGATGAGCTCTGCTTGGATGGTGTCAGATACGCCCAAGAGCAGCTTTGAGCTGACAGCCTGCCTCCCTACTCACTCCAGCAGAGAGCATCTCTCTTCTGGTAGCCCCGTGTAGATCTGGAGTTCCCTCTGACTGGCCCAGCTTGGATCACATGCTCATCCCTGAACCAGTCACTATGGCTAGCTGGTAAAGGGAAGGTGGAGCTGGAAAGTGGGGTCAGCTCAGCTAGACCACATGGATTGGAAGGATGGGAGGGGAGGTGGTTCTTCAGAGAAAATTGGTAAACTGTTCCTAGAGGAAAGGGAATTGGATGTTGGGGGACGGGATGTGGGGAGAGGGGAAGGCCCCTGTAGCCTCCAATCTATCTATCCATCCGTCTGTTCTTCCATGCATCCCCAGTTTCCTGAGAACTTGGGCACAGACCATGTTGTCCTCCCTTGGAGGTCATGTGACCTGTTGTTGCCTGTAACATGGCTGTGGCTTCAGGTACCAGCTGTCCTGCTTCCTCCTTTAGGGGTCTCCTCCCTGCAGCCCTCGCTGTGATCCTTGAGAACTACCCAGGAAGCTTTTTGTGGCTGCCATGGGCCTCTCTTTATGATCAGATTCAGAACTTGCTAGGTCATAAAAGTGGGTAGTGGGCAGGCAGAGAGGCAGATGACAAGGTGGGGGACAGGGGTGGGAAGCGAGGCCTGCTTTCTTCCCTGATTCTCTTCTGCTGCCTCTCTGACCGTTTACTCATCTACATATTTATTAAACAGATAGTGGACACCCTCTGTATGCTAGGCAAATGCCCTTTCTTGGGAGGTAGACAGGGAGAAGGGACCCAGAGCTAATGTCCGAGAGCATATGGCAGGTCCAGGGGAGGCTGCACTGCTTGCTTTTGGGGTCCTTGCCTTAAAGAGCTGTGTAACTTGGGGCCAGTGGTTTGGCGCCTCGGGACCTTCACGCCTTCCTGTATGATATGTGATGAATATCCTTTGGCTTGTGGCTTTGCTGTGTGCACCAAAGGAGACAGACAGAATGCAGAGTTCTAGCCCTGTAGGCGCTCAGCCACTGCTGCTCTATGCAGCCTGCTCTTCTGAGAGGAGACAACCGCACCTGGGCTCGGCCCCTGTTTTCCTGGCTCAGAGTCTGGTGTGTGTCTGAATCTGGGCTTCTGTGTTTCTGTGTGTCTGAAAACCCTGCTTAGACCTCAGGGGCTAGAGGGAAGGTGTCGACTTGGGAACTGAGAAGTTCCAGGGTTCTAGGCCTGGCTGAATGTGTGGGCTCAGCAGGGCTTAACATCCTCCCAGCTTAACATCTCTTTAGCAGGCTCCACCCTCCAGGCGGCTTAGCTCCTTTCCCCAGGGACCTGCCACATGCACCTAGTCTGTCCCTGAGATGTCCTCAGGCTAGGGCAACAGCACGGACTCACTGGCAGGCCCAAGGTCTTAGACCTTGTGGTGGGGTCAGCCTCCTCTGGAAACACACAGATGAAATCCTGTGTTGAGCACAGGTTGCTCTTACAAAACCTGAGGCTGGCCACTTACTCTGAGGTCTTTGAAAGCACTTCTCACGGCCACCTTGTCCTGAGCCTATGTGTCTTGCAATTAAGACCATGAATGCTGATACTGTCATCATGTGCTTAGTCCTCACTAATTTGCTGCACATCTTAACCCATCTCATCTTTCCAACAATCCTCATTTTGTAGTTGAGGAAATTGAGGCCTAGAGGTGTAGTTTCTGCCCTGAGGTCACAGAGCCAGGAAGCAACAGAGCTGGGCTTCATACCCAGGCAGTCTGGTGCCACTCAAGGACCCTGGAAGCTGCAGACATAAGTGCTAGTCAGGAAACTGAGGCCCAGAGTAGGCAAAACTCGGCCAAGTTCTTGCAGCTGTGGGTCTTCCTGTTGTGGGAGCCCGCTGCCTGCTTCTCCAGTCCCCTCAACTCTCCTCTTGGTGATTCCTGTTTACTTTGAAGTCCTCCCTTCTGGAGGAATCAGAGGCTCCTGTGGGTGTAGGGTGTGTGTGTGTTTGTGTGTGTGTGTGTGTATGTATGTATGTACGTATGTGTGTGTGGTGTACAAAGTACCTGGGAACTCAGTCCCGACTCTGCCCCTCCACTCACTCCCCCACCTACCAGGTGTTCGTGGTGGCACTGGTGGGCATTGCCCGGGCCGTGGTGTCCATGACGGTCAGCAGCTCCAATGCTGCTACTGTTGCTGACAAGGTGTGTGTGGGCCCTTGGGTGGGGAAGGTAGGGGTGCTGGGTGCAGGGAGAGGGTGACTGAGCCCCCTGGCTGATGTTCTGCCATTCTGTGTCCAGATCCTATGGGAAATTACCCGCTTCTTCCTGTTGGCCATCGAGCTGAGTGTGGTCATCCTGGGCCTGGCCTTTGGTGCGTGTGCCCCTGGGGCTTGAGGGAGGATGCTACTACCCTCCTTGGCTGGGGTGGACCCTGACAGTCATTGAGCTGGCTCCCACTGACAGATTAGCATGTTTCTTCCAGGCCACCTGGAGAGCAAGTCCAGCATCAAGCGGGTGCTGGCCATCACCACAGTGCTGTCCCTGGCCTACTCTGTCACCCAAGTAAGGGACTCTGTGGTGGGGGCTGTGGGTCAGTGAAACCATGCCCAGACTTCCTGTGGTGGGGCCAGGTTTCTCAAGCTCTAAGTGCACAAAAGAAATCCATGGGTGCTTTTTAACAAGGAATGTACTCTGGCCTCTCGCAGAGATTCTGGTCCCAGGGTCAGTGGGTCCCAGGAACCAGTCTAGGTGGTGAAAATGCAGGTTTGTAGCCTCACTGAGAAACATGGGTCTAGTGGCTTTTTTCTCACTGGGGACTCGTTTTTGCCACTTCCCTCCCAGACCCACGGGACTTAGGCCAAAGCTGGGTGCTGCAGTTAGGTGGTCAGGGCATAGCCAGAGAGCAGATTGAGGTGGGTAACTCAGGCTCCCTGAGCCTCAAAGGCCAGACTGAGAGGTTTGGGCTGGTGTGGGGGCGGTGCTGGGGGTGGGGGTTAGGTCAGGGGAAGACTTTCCAGGTGGTAAGGGCTGCTGAGACCCTCTCCTTTCTCCCTCCATTCCTGCCTGCCCCTGCAGGGGACCCTGGAGATCCTGTACCCTGATGCTCATCTCTCAGCTGAGGACTTCAACATCTATGGACATGGGGGCCGCCACTTCTGGTTGGTCAGCTCCTGCTGCTTCTTTCTGGTGAGGAGGAGGCCCCTGGAAAGCCTGGGCATAAGGGCTGGGTAGTTGTTACCTCAACACCCTTCTAGGCCCTGTTTTATGTCCACAGGTCTATTCTCTGGTGGTTGTCCTCCCCAAGACTCCGCTGAGGCATCGCATCTCCTTGCCTTGTGAGCTGCTAAGGGCAGGGTTGGGGGCCCTGTTTGGGCCACTGTGACCTGGAACTGAAGACCCCTGGCTCAGGGGTGGGGGGACGCGGGGGCGAGGGGCGATTTGTTCTAGCTGTCCCGCTGGGACATTGGGAATGAAGGATGGAGGGGGCAGGCAGACCCTCACACCCCCACCCCACAGCACGGAGAAGCTTCTATGTGTACGCCGGCATCCTGGCTCTGCTCAACCTGCTGCAAGGCCTGGGGAGTGCGCTGCTCTGCGCCGACATCATCGCAGGGCTCTGGTACGTGGGGTGGGGAAGGGGTTGTGCTCCCATGTGGAGGGGTGAGGATGGGATGAGGGCGATGGGGCAATGGGGCGACTGAGTATGATCATTCCGGAATAGGGGTGTAGTAGGTGGAGAAGGTGAAATGTGAGTCTGGGAGGCACGGATTGATCTCTGTTGACTAGCCTGATTACCTCCCTTCCCGCTACATCCCTTTCAGCTGTGTGGACACCACCACCTTCCTCTACTTCAGCTTGTTTGCGCCCCTCATCTATGTGACCTTCCTCCGAGGGTTTTTGGGGTGAGTCGCCTGTGAAGGTGCTGGGGACAGGAACTAGTATTGGGAACTGGGTTTGTGGCTGGGCACCTGACCTCGAGGCTTGTGAGCTCCCCCGCGTGGCTACCAGCGGAGCCACTCCGTGTGTCGGAGACAGGGTGCACAGGCACGTTGGCACCAAAGAAGGTGGACGCTGAGTGTGTGTGCAGTAATGTATGTACATAACATACGCAGTGCCCGCACACGTACACCTTTATCAAAGAAATAGCAACTGTGCACATTTTTCTGCACATGTTGGCTTTCATGTTAACTCATTCTGTCAGAAAGTATTTGTTGAGCAAATATACTGGGGAAATCACCAGACCCAGCTGGGAGCAAGTAGACTCAGAGCCCTGGCTTCATGGAGCTGGTAGTATTCCAGCTGGGGTAGGGGGCAGATGAGCAGGTTAGCGTGGACAACCTGTGTGTATCTCACTATTTGGGCAGGACACACTCTTGTGCATTCATGTTTGGGGGAATGTCAGGGAGAAGGATGTTAAGTATATGTGCCTTTGGGATTCTATTCTGGGCCTTCCTGCTGCCAGGGAGCTGGTGGATCTGCCTCCGATGTGGGTAAGATGGAAGAGGATGTAGGAGACGGGTCAGCACCAACTCCAGAGTGAGGATTCAATCCTGGTCTCTCCCTTGAGCTCTGTGTGTCCTTGCACACAATGTCCTTGAGACTCGGTCAGTTGAACACAATAACCCCTACCTCAAAGAGTAGTGCCAAGGACTGAATGGCTGGCCAAGCTGAAGTGCACAGTAATATGAGCTGTCGGGGTCACAGAGGTCACACCTTGTGTCCTTTTGTGACAGGGACTGGTTAGGAGTTAGAATTTACCTTTGTTCATCTCCCACAAAGAACCAACCCAATGAGATTGGAGCATGCTATTTGTGGCACTGAAACTTTGTGCCCACATTTAACCAGGAGGAGCCGCTGGATTATAAAACAAGGTTTGCTTGATGACAGAACCCTAGTGAGGTGGGACCTCTTGGAGTGGGTGTTGAGGCAGCTTCTACCATGCTTCCTTCTGTACCTGATGGCTCTTTGGCCAGGGAGGGAGGCCTTTCCTGATCCCTGCTCCTCTCCTGTCCAACAGTTCGGAGCCCAAGATCCTCTTCTCCTACAAATGCCAAGTGGACGAAGCAGAGGAGCCAGATATGCACCTGCCACAGCCCTACCCAGTGGCCCGGAGGGAGGGCCCAGAGGCCACTGGAGCCATGGGACCCTCTGCCGCCAGCTACTCCAGCACGCAGTTTGACTCGGCTGGGGGCGTGGCCTACCTGGACGACATTGCATCCATGCCATGCCACACGGGCAGTATTAACAGCACAGACAGTGAGCACTGGAAGGCTCTCAATGCCTGAGAGCAGTTGCCCGGGCAGAGGGCCTGCAGGGGCCCGCCAGGACAGGCTGGAGAGGAAGCCGGAGGGGGCAGGGGGGCACAGTCCAGTGGGGAGGAAGACCAGGACAGAACCTTTTGTGGGTGGCAGCCCTGTGCCAGGCTCCCTCCACTCTAGTCTGGAGGCTTTTTCCTGCCCTCCTGGCCCCCTTGTTCCCCTCAGCCACCTCTTCTCTGCCTGGGACCCTCTCCCCCTCCCACCTGCCCTCACCCTACTGAGCCGATAGCCTCAGAGATGGATTCCTCAGGGCCAGGCCCGGTTCAACTGGCCGAGGACACCTCCTTTTCTTCAAAGCCTTGGCTCCAGAGATGGTCCAGCCCTTGTCATCCTCTGCCCCAATCCCTGTGGGCTCTGGTTTCCTAAGAACCACTGTGGAGATGTGCTGACCATATATTTTCTTGATCTATTTTTTAATAAAAAGGAAAAGGAGCGGAAGTTGTCAACGTGGAGGTTGTGTAGAATCCTGAGATTTCCTGATCCCTGGGGGAGGCTCAGTTTCACCCCCTTTGTTCAACCGAGGAACTGGTTGGCCCTCGCTCTGTAGAGAGCGAGGAAAGTAGAGAGAAGGGAGACTCACCACTCCTGTCCTCAGGTTCCTGTGTGTGGGCAGGAGACAGACATGGACTGGAAACTAGAGTTTTATGAACTATAGTTCTATCCCTGCTCTGTTAAAGAGCATAGGTTTTGGAATGAGCTGGGCCGGGCCTGTCCTTTTTGTATCCTTATAATCTTTGAGTTTGGGGCAGCCTCTCCCCTCCCTCAACTCATTTTGTGAGATGGGGATTTGATTGCTGGTCTTGCACGGGGACTCCTCTAAGGGTTAGAACATAAGTATAATATCTAAGTGTATGGTAACAAGACATTAAATGAAATCAGCAGTTCAAACCCACAAGCTGCTCCTTGGAAACTGTATAGGGTTGCTATGAATTGAAACCAACTCTACAGCAACATAGTTGGTATGGTGATGAAACATTAAATGATAGTTCTTGCTATTTTTGGAGTCCTGGTAGAGCACTGTAGGGTAAGCACTGGACTGCTTACCACTCTCCAGCCACTCTTCAGAAACCTTATACAAAGTTGCTATGAGTCAGAACCAATTCAATGCCATTTAACAACAGCAGGAACATTTTTATTTTTCGCCCAAGAATAGTGTTTGGCACATTGCAGGTGCTTAAAAGATAGAATGTTAGGGAGTGACGTTCATTATAATATAAACTGTTGTTGTTGTTAAGTGCCGTCCAGTCGGTTCCGACCCATCACGACCCTTTATAGGGTTTCGGAGGAGCAGCTGGTGAGCTTGAACTACCGACTTTGCAGTTCAAACCAACCTTGCAGTCCAGCGCATTAATCCACAGCGCCACACCAGGCATAAATTGTAACAAAGCCTTGGGATCTGTGCAGTGTAAGTAGAGGACAGAGAAGTTCTAGACATCCTTATTGCTGCAGTTGTATCTAAGTTTGTGAGCTCCTGGTTGCTGAGCAAAAAGGGAGCTGCTGCTACTTATGTAATTCTTATTGTCAGAGAGAAGAGTCCCTGGGGATATAAACCATTAACTGTCTTGGTTGCTGACTGAGAACTAGGAGGTTCCAGCCACCCAGAAGTCCCTTGGAAGGAAGGTCTGGCTCCTTAATTTTAATAAGCCATCGAAAACCCAGTGGAGCACAGTTCTACTCAGACATACATGGAGGCATCATAGGGCTGAATCAACTCCATCCGTGATAACTGCTTATTTAACATTTCCAGAAAGGAGGAGGTAGTCAGGGGAGGTCTACAGGGGGTCTCAGCCAGGCCATGGAGTTCCTGAAAGTTAGGGCTGGGGCCTGCCCCATGGTTGGCTCCATCTCTGGAGGGTAGCAAGAGCACTGATTCCAACACAGCTTGCCCTGTAGGGTCTAGGGAACTTCTGGCAGGTTTGGGGCTTGGTTCAGTGCTGAGGCCCTGGCTGGGGAGTTGAGGGCAGGTGCAGGGCATAGTCAGTGAGTAGCACTGGGTAAGGAGGGCTGCCAGGGCTCCCAGAGGTGGCTTCTGGGGAATGCTGTTAGGGCCTCTGCCTCAGGAAGCCTGTTAAGCAGAGAAGGTCTTCTGCGCTGGAGCAGATGGCATGAGTGGTGAGTGTAAGGTCCTCAGTGGCTTTGAGAACAGACCAAGGAGAGGGTTTCATATCAAATCCCAGAACTGGGTTCTTTCTCAGCCGCCTTGATCTATGCTAGACCTTCCTTGGGCTTTTCTGCTCTAAGATGCCACAGCTTCGGCCATGGTTGGCACATTATGTAATATCGGCAGGACATAATCAACAGAAGTAAAGCCAAAGAAGGCAGAACCTGCTTTTACAAAAATAGGTAATTTGTGTACATGGTAGGGAATAGAATATATAGGCATCCATACACAAGGGATTATACAGCAGACCTACAATGAGAGCTTTAGTGTCCCTGTTTCCTTTCCTGAAACATCGCTGAGGTCAGGACCTTCATAGCCTCTCAGAGGCATCCTGTGTATGTCCACATACTCATATGTATGCGCACTACTGCTGTTTTCCGTGCCAATGTTCCGTAGCTCCCTTTTGTCACTTGCCAATTCATCTTGGAGATAATTCCACATCAGGATGGGAGAACTGCCTCACTCTTGAGCAGATGCACATATTTTGAACATATAGCAGTTGGTCTAACCAGTCTTTCTATGATGGAAGTTGAGGTTGTTTCCAATGTATTTTGCAACAACAAACAATGTAGTGACCAATATCATTAAAAATATGCTTTTGGTAACTGACACAAATGGAATTTCTGGAGCACATAGCCTTCATTTGTCTAATTAGTCTTCTGGCAGAGACGAATCATTGTCCCCAATATTTGTTTTCCATTGTAATAGAATCTTTTGAGTTCTACCTAGATGCACAGCTGCCTAGAATACAGACTACATTTCCTAGCCTTCCATGCAGGTAGGTGTGAGTAAGATCTGGCCAGGAGATGTAGACATGTGCACAACTTCTTAAAGAGTGGTAGGCTCAGTTTTTTCTTCCTGACTGAGATGTGGCTGGCTGCATTAGGCTGCTAAAATCAGGCTGCTTTGCCTGAGTTATCTGTTTGCAAACACATGGAGATAACTCTGCCCCTCTATGGATCAGGTAGGAGAGGCTAGATCATTTTAGCTGCCAATTTGTGTCATTTTCATCCTGGCTGGAATTCTAGCAGCCATTTTGGACCACAGGGTAATCTTGGACTGGAAGCTTCCCATGGCAGTGCAGAAAGATAGAAGGCATTTGTGTTCCTTACTCTATTCTTGGACGTTTTGCTTTCAAATGAGTTTTTGAATGTGAGAGAGAAGTAAACATCTGTCTCGTTGAAACCATTCTGACTTTTGCTTCTTCCACTTGAACCTGATATGAACCATTGTACTTGACACAGAGGTGGCATCAGTTTTAACTCCTACCAGACATCTTCATTGACACTGTTGGATAAGGGGACCGGAGCAGAATTACTGAGGAAAAAGATGAGTAGTGACAACAGCAGGTCAAGAATGTTGTTGTTGTTAAGTATCGTGGAGTCGGTTCCGACTCATAGTGACCCTGCACAGGGCTTCCAAGACTGTAAATATTTATGGGAGCAGAAAGCCTCATCATTCTCCCACGAACGGCTGGTAGTTTCGAACTGCTGACTTTAAAGGTAAGCAGCCTGATTCGTGCGTAACCACTACACTACCAGAGCTCCATAGAATAGAACCATAAAAAACCTTACAAATACAAAGAACAGAGGGTCACAATGTGCACAAGAGATTGAACAAACAAACAAACAACCTGCTTGTCAGGCAGGCAGGAAATAAACAAGATTAAAAAAAAGCAACTTGTAACAAAACTACTTCCCAGTAAATCTGGAACCCAGCAGGGGTTTGTAAATCCTCCTTCCCTATTCAGCTACCCAGTGGGGGTTGTTAACCATCAGCTACCTATTAACCTCCCCCTTAACTGATTTACAGCACCCCTTTTTTTGAAATCTGGTGGAACTGCTTTTGTAGCTTTGTTATTGTTAGATGCTGTGGAGTTGTTAGAAACCCTCATAGCAATCCTGTACAGGGTTTCTGAGGAGTGGCTGGTGAGTTTGAACCCCCACCTTGTGGTTCAAATTGAACTTGTGGTTCAGTGCTTATCCTACAGTGTCATACCAGGACTCTTAAAAACACCTTAGACTGTGAGCACAGGGAGGTCTGCCTTCTCTTTCACGTCTTCCCTGTCGGTTATTTCTACACTCTGACAAATTTCTTTAATACTTTATTCCATGACTTTCTAGTCTACTGAAGCCTGCCCCGGGATCAATCTGCTGGTGACTCTTGTTGGGACACTTGAGGCTACATCTTTGGAGACCCCTGGGGCAGGATTGGGCTGACTGCTGGTGACTAGTAAGTGGCCGGCCAAACCTTTTTGTTTTGATTACTCACCGCTGGCTAGGCTACTCCCTGTCTTGGCATGCTCTGAGGAACTTTCTTTTCTATGGACATGGACCTTTTCATAATATGTCTTTTTGCTAGCTGCCTCTTTGTTCTTTTTATTGGACTCTGTAGCCTCATGAGTCATATTAGGACAACTTAGACCTCTATGCTTCTGAGTACTTCTTCCCTACATTCTCCCTTGTCTTCAAAGTCACCCTGTGGGGTTCAAGTCCCCTGGGTTGGCAATTGGAATACCTGATTCCTACGTGAGGGTTTCAAGTCCCTAGGAACGAGGAACACCATTAAGGACCTGTCCCTGGGCACTCTTACAGATGGGGACTGGCCTCAGTGAGGGGTTCAAGTCCCCAAGAACTGCAGACAAGCTCCATGGTGAGGGATTCAAATCCCCAAGACCCACTGAAAGTCTTCCCTTCTGCCTTTCTGGTGTCTTACTCTCTGGTAGTGTAGTGGTTACAAATCGGGCTGCTAACCTCATGGTCGGCAGTTTGAAACTACCAGCTGTTCCATGGGAGAAAGAGGAGGC